GTGCCAAAAATGATTCAGACACTTTGAGCTGACCTTGTTTTGCTGAAGTGTTTTTTCTTTAATTGCTAATGCGGGATTTTTACATCACAGACTGAACAACATGAAGCATTGCTTGGCAATCGGTTGAGCTAAACTGGTATTATCTAATTGTGTAGTTAAATTTAACATCTGACAGCTATCAAACATAATTCATCTGTGAGAGTCTAACAGAAGGACGGACAAAACCAGTGAAATACAGTATCAACTGATTTAATAACGGAGTTCTTGTCATTTTATTAGGCTACCATTTTCTAAACTATAGCGAATAAACTGTGATAATGTGAGACATGTTGAAGGTGTCAGAATACATTTTGGTTTGACTGTATATTTCGTATCCGATCTCTCTGGTGGGAGAACAGATCCCTTTGGAGTTGAATCTCCTGTTGTGTCTCCTACTTTGCTCCTCAGGAATCCGTGTCTCGGGTGTCCTGTCACATCCACATTTAGACATCGTCCCCCCTCGTCCATCAGCGCGTCCTTCCACCCTTTTTCCGACCTTTCCGTCTCTCCTATACGTCTCTAAAGCCCTGTTTACTCCTGGTATTAAGATGCGTTTTGGTCGATCGGATCACAAGTAGACGAGAGACACATTCCCGTTTACTCCTGGTGTTTTAATCCGTCTCTTCATCCACTTCTGTCCTGATTTCCTCGAGCGGAGGGTCTACGGGCGGGAAATGTGTGAGCTTTTCAGATCTTTCAATCTAATGCACAAAATAAGCTTGTTTGCACTGAACGACTGAAACACACACAGAGCATCAGCTTTAGTTCCTGCTCTGACAGACGAAGATCAGCCGAACGCTGCGAGTGTGTGTTAGAAATCAGGAATGGTGAGAGAACATTGTGTTTGATACGTTTTTCATCTTCAAACCGATCTTGTGTTCTCCAGAGTTTAAATCCCGTCTGTATAACCTCTTCTCGTGACGTTCATCATTAGTTCAGCAGACGGAGAGAAGACGGTCTTTTGAGGCTGTTCGAACACATTCGCTCACATGAGCGTTTACACTGCGAAAGCAATCCGGCCGAGTGTGTGTTCATCTTCCTCTGGAAGTGCTGAGAGTGGACGAGCTCGAAGCGCTTTAGACCCGTTTACAGCTGGATCTAGTGCCGTCCACTAGTGACCCGATCGACCAAACGCATCTGAATACCAGGAGTGAACCGGGCCTATCTGCGCTCCAGTTCGTCTCCTCTAAAGGTTCCCGAAACCTCTGGAGATCCTGTAATGACACATCGAGGAGTTGTTGGAAGAAAGGGTTCTTGATTAGAAGGATGTTTGCTGAATGTAAAATGCAAAAACAAGCCTTTGTTTTTGTGTTTCTCCTCATGAGCTCCTCTGATCTCGTCTCATCTTTCCTTTCTCTCTCTTCTTTCTCCACTTCCATCTCAACTCATCTCGTCTGTCTTTCGTTCTCCTTTCTGTTTCTTGTCTTTTTCAACTTTCATTACCTCTTCTTTTCTCATCGCATCTCATCTCTTCCTCTCTCGTTTCGTCTCAATTTCTCTTCTTCTCATTTGGTTTCATTTTCTTGGTCTTCAGTCTCTTCTCAACTTTCATTATCTGTCATCTTCTCTTCTGTTTTCATCTTCTCAGTGTCTCTTCTCTCTCAGCTTTCATTATCTAATTTCTCCTCATCTCTCATTCTCCTTTCTGTTCTGGTCTCATCCCTTGCTTTTCTTCTCATTTGGTTTCAATTCTCATTCTCTTTTCTCATTTTCCCTTCTGTTCTTCTCTCATTCAATCTCTTTTTTTCTCATTTGGTCTCATTTTTCATTCTTTTGTCTAATCTCTTCTCAACTTTCATGATCTTTTCTTCTTTTCATCATCTCGTCATCTTTTCTCTCTCATCATTCATTGTTTTTTTTCTCAAATTTGATTGTTTTCTTCTCAATTCTTCTCTTTTTTCCTCAACTGTCATTCTCTATCATCTTCTCTTCTGTATTCTCTATCTTTCTCCTCCTCTCATCGCTTCTTTCAATTCTCATTCTCTTGTCTCATCTCTTCTCCGTCACCTTTCATTATCCCATATCATCTCTTTTATCTCACCTTATTATCTCTTCTCTTTGCTCATTTTTACGGTTGAGCATCGTTTGAATTTTAACGATTCTGCTTATCGATTCTTAACTTCGATTCCAATAAGGTTTACACATTTAATTGTAGCTGAATATCATGAACAAAAATCAACAGGCTGAAGAACACTTACACCAGAAACGTTTGCCTGTGGTTTAAAAATATCACAGAAAAACAACTTTTCTTCTCATTCTCTTGTCTGTTCTGTTCTCTCTCAACTTTCATTGTCTAATTTCTTCTCTTCTCATCTCACCTCATTATGTAATTTCTTCTCGTCACCTATCATCTCTCATTCCAGTGCCAAATATAGCCTCTCCCTGGAGGATCCCTATTCCACAGATAAAGCGTTGTGGAAATTCGGTTCGCGCACCAACCCCGAAGTGATAAAATAAAATTCTGTATCAAATTTATAGGCAAGACGAGTAGTTTGTTTAGGCTTGGTTTGTAGGGAATTACTCAAACTATAGAATCAATTCTTAACGCGCATGTGAACGCCATCAGCGTTTATCTCAGGTTCGGATTTAAAGTCTGTTTAGAGAGAACGGTGTCGTCTTAGCGGCCCCTAATTTAATAACAAATGATCATTTCGACGGAAGTGAATCAATCAAAACTAACTTTAGCTGGAAATATAACATTATTCAAGAACCGCTATAAAGCCAAAACAATCTCTGTTACCTTAAATTATATGTTTATCTCTCTAAAGCTGCTTCGAGGCGATCTACATTGTTAAAAGCGCTATATAAATGAGGAGGACTTGACTTGACATTCTCTTCTTTTCGCTAATTTTCGCTTCTGTTCTCGTCTCGTCTCATTTGGCCTCATTCTCGTCTCTTCTCATCTTTTCATGATCTCACTTCTTCTCGTCACATATCATCTCTCATAGTCTTCGCTCATTTCCCCCTTTGTTCTTGTCCTTTTTTCCTCATGTCTTTCCTCTTATCTCCTCTTGTCTCGCTCTCGCTCTCTCTCTTTAGTTAGTCTCTATAGTTTCTGCGGTCTATATTTGGTGTGTGTGTGTGTGTGTGTGTGCGTTTGGTGATCCACCCACTCAGCCCTACAGAGACCCCTGGCTTACATCTCCACATTCAATTACACCTCCTCCTCCTTCCCTCTTTCAACCTCTCATCCGTCTCTCTCATCAGGAACTCCTACATGTCCTGTTGTTCATCACTCCTCCTCCTCTTTCATACATTATTCTGCAGCTCAGCACAAACAAACACACTCAGACTCATTTACATCGAGCAGCTTTGCCCCGTAACACCCACACCACTGGCACACACACGGCTCTCCTTGGCATCTCACACACTGATATTTATGAGTTCGCTGAAATATTGCTAACGATTTCATCAAAAACTACAGGGACACTGTAATGTGCAAACTAAAACAACATCAGTCAGGGGTTTTAACAGATGATTTTGTTCACATTTTCATTATTATTCCTTTAAGACATATTAACTCTTTCCCCGACACGGTTTTAAAAACATGTTGGCAGCCAGCACCATCATTTTTACTAAAGTTTCAGAATATTTTGTTGTATGAATATCTGAACATGCAATATATCAAAAGAAAGAACTGACCCTCTGCTTTTAAACAAAAAACTGTTTTATTCTAGCTTAATGCAGTCGTTTTTAATCAACACTTGCATGTAGGTAAGTTTCATTAAAAGAAGAAAATCTTGTTTTTTTTCAAAATCATCTGGATCGGATTCATAACGATAATCGAAACGCAGATGGAGTCCATCAACATTAATGTCGACGACATTTCATTTTGTAACATTAGGCAGTTTTGATTTATATGCTGTTTAATGTTGGTGATCGTGATATTTTACATATGCTCTCGCTTGTTTCTGCTTCTTCTTCGCCTGTGTTTTAATCAGAAGAGGTGTAATAGCGCCGCCTACCGTACAACAGTGAAAACACGGAAAGCCGGAAAATTCTGTCAATGGTGGGGAAAGAGTTAAAATGTAAAATTCTTAAAGAAAAGAATGATTACAACAAAATTAATAAGGGCCAATAAGAGTCACGGGATAGTGGACCGCGTTTTTTTGACGCTGAAGCTGCGGCTGAAATCAGTCACTTGTTCACATTTACTGTTTTCTAGATGGTGAACGGCACACAGTGCACTATATAGGGGATAGGGAACGATTCAGACAGTTAAATATGGTTTCCATCGGGGCGAATGAAGTCTGGTTTCACGTTACCGTCGCGTGATCCGCCGCTACACGAACACCACACACAGAGTACATCATGTGATCGAGTCGCGCAGACCAGAAAACGTATCAGACCCTCTGAATTCTGCTCTGAATGCTGTATTTTAAAGTGATCTGGAGGAGAAACGGTTAGAGATTAGGAGGAAACTGCGGCTTTACCGCTCAACGGCTCTGGACGAGCTGTGATAGAAATTAAACGCTATTGGCTACTTTAAAAAAAGGGGAGGAGCTGATCGATATGCCCCGCCCTCTCTTCCTGTTTCAGTGGAAATGACCTCAACACACTGAATAATGCTGCGTGTGTCAAGGCACTTCAGTGGTCTATAGACCGTTTTTTTAAAAGACGAACTACTTTTAATTTGAGCACCACATTTTTAGACGCGAGACCCAAATGCAATGATCAAAAACATCCGTCTAGCTCATGTTTACATAGAAAAACAATGGAAAAGCAGAAGCAGTGTGGTGGTATTCAGAAATGCATTGTGTGAACACACACTCTTAGACTCTTGAAAAGTTTTTAAATCTGACAACCAGTTACTTCTCATGCTGGGTATCTTATGTTAAATAATACTTTATTGTAGGCCTACATATTGTATCAAACAAAGTTCTCCACACTTGTACGTGTGAAATGCATATTTCAGTTTTATGTTGAAACATCTGTGGTCTGTGTTTGTTCCTCTCCCTCAGACGTTCACAGCGTGGTGTAACTCTCATCTGCGTAAAGCAGGAACTCAGATCGAGAACATTGAAGAGGATTTCAGGAATGGCCTCAAACTCATGCTGCTGCTCGAGGTCATCTCAGGTAATGATGACCAGATCTCCGGGATACGCCTTCATTATACCGCTCTAATGAAGCACATCTGAAGGAGATACTGATATTTCAACATTGTGCTTGCTGATATTACAAGCCACAAGTATGAAATCGTATGCATTCACACAGACTAGACAGACAGATAGATAGACAGATAGACGGATAGATAGACAGACAGACAGATAGACAGACAGACAGACAATAGATAGATAGATAGACAGACAGACAGACAGACAGACAGATAGATAGACAGACGATAGATAGATAGATAGATAGATAGATAGATAGATAGATAGATAGATATAGATAGACAGACAGACAGACAGACAGACAGATAGATAGAGATATAGACAGACAGATAGATAGATAGATAGACAGACAGATAGACAGATATAGACAGACAGATAGATAGATAGACAGACAGATAGACAGATATAGACAGACAGATAGATAGATAGATAGACAGACAGACGATAGATAGATAGATAGATAGATAGATAGATATAGATAGACAGACAGACAGACAGACAGACAGATAGATAGAGATATAGACAGACAGATAGATAGATAGATAGATAGATAGACAGACAGATAGACAGATATAGACAGACAGATAGATAGATAGACAGACAGACAGATAGACGGATAGATAGACAGACAGACAGACAGATAGATAGACAGACAGACAGACAGACAATAGATAGATAGATAGATAGATAGATAGATAGACAGACAGATAGATAGATAGAGAGACAGATAGACGGATAGATAGACAGACAGACAGATAGACAGACAGACGATAGATAGACAGACAGACGATAGATAGACAGACAGACAGACAGACAGACAATAGATAGACAGACAGACGATAGATAGATAGTTGATAGATAGAAAGACAGATAGACAGACAGACAGACAGACAGACGATAGATAGACAGACAGACAGATAGACAGACAGACGATAGATAGACAGACAGACAGATAGACAGACAGACGATAGATAGACAGACAGACAGACGATAGATAGATAGACGATAGATAGACAGACAGATAGACAGACAGACAGACAGACAGACGATAGATAGACAGACAGACAGACAGATAGATAGATAGAGAGACAGACAGACGATAGATAGATATATAGATAGACAGACAGACGATAGATAGATAGATATAGACAGACAGGTAGATAGACAGACAGACAGATAGATAGACAGACAGACAGATAGACAGACAGACAGACGATAGATAGACAGACAGACAGACAGACGATAGATAGACAGACGATAGATAGATAGACGATAGATAGACAGACAGACAGACAGACGATAGATAGACAGACAGACAGACAGACAGATAGATAGATAGATAGACAGACGATAGATAGATAGACAGACAGACAGATAGATAGATAGAGAGACAGACAGACGATAGATAGATATATAGATAGACAGACAGACGATAGATAGATAGATATAGACAGACAGGTAGATAGACAGACAGACAGATAGATAGATATAGACAGACAGGTAGATAGACAGACAGATAGATAGACAGACATACAGGTAGATAGATAGACAGATAGATTGACAGACAGACAGACAGACAGGTAGATAGATATAGACAGACAGATAGATAGACAGACAGACAGACAGATAGATAGACAGATAGACAGACAGACAGATATAGACAGACAGACAGGTAGATAGATAGATAGACAGACGATAGATAGATAGACAGATAGACGGATAGATAGACAGACAGACAGACGATAGATAGACAGACAGACAGACAGATAGATAGATAGACAGACAATAGATAGATAGATAGATAGAGAGAGACAGATAGACGGATAGATAGACAGACAGACGATAGACAGACAGACGATAGATAGACAGACAGACGATAGATAGACAGATAGATAGATAGATAGATAGATAGAGAGACAGACAGACAGACGATAGATAGATAGATAGATAGATAGATAGATAGATAGACAGACAGACAAATAGACCGATAGACGGATAGATAGACAGACAGATAGATAGACAGACAGACAGACAGGGCTCAGTGAGTTTGTCATCAGTTGTCATCTTGTACAGTCATATTTATAAAGAGTGTGTGTATACGGGCTGAAGGAGTGCAGTAAACACACGGCACTAAACAGCAGAAGCTCGTGACTCACATTCACTTTTTCCTTAGAGGAGTCATTAGGAAAGACGGCAACATACGTGGTTAGAGTTCAGCACATTCGGCAGAATCTGAACAGTTGGTGTGTGTGTGTGTGCGCGTGTGTGTGTGTGTGAGAGAGTCTGAGTGTGTGTGTGTCTGTGTGTGTGAGTCTGAGTGTGTGTGTGTGTGTGTGATGGAGACTCAAACAGTCTTTCACCACAGATATGACATCATGGATCAGATCACACACTGTCTGAACATGAAATCAAGCGTCCTCATGTTCACATCTTTACTGCATGTTCCTGGTCTTACAGTGGGTGATTTATCATTGTGTTCAAACTCGCTCCGACTCTGAAAAGTGTTTTCGATTGTAATCAAAATGGATGTCATTTGACTTTAAAGGTGAAGTGTGCATTTTTAAAAATGTACAAATACTGTCTTCTATTCCAGTTTATTATCTAAAGGCATGGGCTGATTTCCTGAAGACTATAAAACTGTTCATCTGTGGTGCTTTAGTTTCAAAATATTGAGCTTTTTGGGCAATAAACAAGTGAAGACAGTGACGAGGACGGATAGGAGTGTTTGGGAAACCGGTTTGGAAACAGTCATTATTTCTGCAATTCAGAGGTTCACGTCACCATCACAATATTGATCTGATTGGTCTGCTGTTTTCGGCAGGCGAGAGACTTCCCAAGCCTGACAAAGGAAAGATGCGTTTCCACAAGATCGCCAACGTCAACAAGGCTCTGGATTACATCTGTAGCAAAGGAGTCAAACTGGTGTCCATCGGGGCTGAAGGTGGTCATTTTCAATTTTAAATCATCCCTTAAAACTTATTTGTTTAACTTATATAACTAATATATAATCTTAAACTATCTGTACAACATGTCTGCCATCAAGACTTGTATATACTAACTAGGGCTGTTCATTTAGTGCAGTTTGTACATGCCGCTTATGTAGTGAAATAGAAATAAAGCAAATATTATACTGATAATATAATCTCTTAAATTACTTTTCTCAGAAAGTATTTTGTGTAATCTTTTGCCTGTATTTCCAGCATCATTACTCCAGTCTTCAGTGTCACATGATCCTTCAGAAATCACTCTAATATGAGGATCTGATGCTCAAGAAACATTTATGATTGATTATTAATAATTCTTTGATGAACAAAAAGTTCAAAAGAGCAGCGTTTATTTGAAATAGAAATATCTTGTAACATTAAAAATGTCACGTATTACTGTCGCCTTTGTGCATCCTTATAAAGGATCAGACTTTTAAAAAAATGTATATGTGATTTATTAATTTTAGTAATAGTATTTACAATTGATAGCCCTAATACTACAGTAAATGTATATATGTAAACCCTCACAAACAAAAGAAGTAATTGTTGTGTTGCTCCGCAGAGATTGTTGATGGAAACGTGAAAATGACTCTTGGAATGATCTGGACCATCATTCTGCGTTTCGCTATCCAGGACATCTCAGTGGAGGGTACACACACACACACACACACACACACACACACACACACACACACACACACACACACACACACAACAGTAGATGAGGACACAACACTACATCACATCCACACACACGCACACAACAGTAGATGAGGACACAACAGTACATCACATCCACACACACGCACGCACACGCACACACACACAGCAGTAGATGAGGACACAACACTACATCACATCCACACACACACACACACACACACGCACACAACAGTAGATGAGGACACAACAGTACATCACATCCACACACACGCACACGCACACACACACACACACACAACAGTAGATGAGGACACAACACTACATCACATCCACACACACGCACATATATACACACACACACACACACACACACACAACAGTAGATGAGGACACAACAGTACATCACATGCACACACACACACACACACACACACACACACAACAGTAGATGAGGACACAACACTACATCACATCCACACACACACACATATATACACACACACACACACACACACAACAGTAGATGAGGACACAACACTACATCACATCCACACACACACACACACAACAGTAGATGAGGACACAACACTACATCACATCCACACACACGCACACACACACACGCATACACACACACACACACACACACACACACACACACACACACAACAGTAGATGAGGACACAACACTACATCACATCCACACACACACACACACACACAACAGTAGATGAGGACACAACACTACATCACATCCACACACACACACACACACACACACACACACACACACACACACACACATAAACACACACACCCACAACAGTAGATGAGGACACAACACTACATCACATCCACACACTCACACACACACACACACACACACACACACACACACACACACACACACACACAACAGTAGATGAGGACACAACATTACATCACATTCACACACACACACACACACACACATCGGGACAAAGACAATCACGAACCAACCTGACTGCTCATGTTACTGATTCAACACTCATTATCACTTCAGATGAGTTCTGCATAATAAGGGAATGATTTTCTGTTGTGTGTGTGTGTGTGTGTGACTCTACAGAGACATCTGCTAAAGAGGGTCTTCTGCTGTGGTGTCAGAGGAAGACCGCCCCCTACAGGAACGTCAACGTACAGAACTTCCACATCAGGTGACACACACACACACACACACACACACACACACAAGTCACATACGTAGTCATACCAAATACTAAGGGCAATATTGCTGACATTTATACCAGTACTGTCTATTAATATCTATTAATTGGACAATCATCATAAATCTACAGCTAGAGTTTAATAGGCTAACTCCAAATTATCAGATTTCTGTTTTTATTATTTATTAACAACATTTGCAAAACATTTTAACACGTTAAAAAAGTCTTTAAATTAAATTAGCAATGTCGCAAAAACCCATCATAATTAATATCACATTTAGTATCATTGAGAGAGCTATACTATTATAGTTTTACTATATACAATTTTTTTTTGTATTTAAATTTTTTCATTTAATATTTTTTTAAACAAATTTAGTAGTTTGTGTCTATATGGATTTTATAAAAAAAAAAGTTATTTTAGTACATCAAGTTAAACTAAATTAAAGTAATAAATGTTGCCTTGGCAACTACAGCAGCTGAAATAAAATATGTTTAACTTTTTGTATATTTTATTTCAGTTAAAGTAAATTTTATTTGAAGTAACAAAAATGTTTTTTAATAGTTTTAGTTTGAGTTAACTATAATAACCCTGCATTATTTAGTTATTGGAATCACATTTATTTATTTTTTCACTTCAAAGCTTATGATAAGCATTCGTTTTCATGCTAAATAAACTCTTAAATGACTAAAAAAAAACACTTATTTTTATGGCAACATTTTACAATAAGGTCCCATTAGTTAATGCATTGAGCAATTAATTTTGCGTCAGTATTTATTATTCTTTGTTAACGTTACTTAAAATTAAGTTAATAAAAATACAACTGCAAATTGTGTTAACAGATACAACTTTCGATTTTAACAATATATTAGTAAATATTGAAATAAACATTGAGATTAATAAATGCTTTAAAGGTATTTTTCATTATTAGTTCATTTTAACTACTGTACTTAACTAGGAAACGTACTGTAAAGTGTAGTGTTTTCTGTATATCTGAGGATCTGTTCTCTCAGTGAACATCAGTATAGTGTATGCATGTCTATATCCCAGGAGTGTGAGGTGTGTTTGCTCATGTGTGTGTCTCTGCTGTTTCTCAGCTGGAAGGACGGCCTCGCTCTGTGCGCTCTCATCCACAGACACAGACCAGACCTCATCGACTACTCTAAACTCAGAAAGGTGACAGTCACGCGCACTTTATTGATCGGTTTGCCTTTAAATATCTCACATGTATTCTCTGTGGGACGTTTTAAGCCATTTCAGCACACAATATTCATATTTTCACTGTCTATACTCAAAAGGTTTATCCTAGAGATGCTCCTGAGACGAGAATATACACCAATCTCCTCCTGGGTTTTAGTTTTATTTTGGCCGGTCTTTATTCCGGACTCTAAATATATGAAAATATTACGAAGTCTGTAATGATGAGGCTGATCAAGGAAGCGTTATGTTGCTGCTGTTTCATAAGCGTCGCCTGTCAGAGAGGTAGTTTATTCAGTGAGTTTGCTGTTTTGTGCAGGTGTGTCTTCTGTAGCTTAAAGGGATAGTTCACTTTGGAATTAATTTTTGGGATGTTTTAGCTTACCTCAAGGGCATCCAAGATGTAGGTGTCTTTGTTTCCGCAGTAGTTTCAATTTTGATATTTTTAGGTCAAACCGCTCTTGTCTGCCAGTCATATAATGCAGGTCTATGGTCACCACCTCAAAGAGCATGCACAGAGAAGTCCAAATTAAACATGATTTAATGACTCGTAAATGGGTCAAAGACGTGACGCTTGCTTTTTCTGTCCGACTGAACTTTTTACCAATTAATAAACATTAAAATGAATAAAATTATAACATGTATGTCTACCACGTCCCTTATACATATGCCGACTCTTATTTCTTTAAAAATAATTGGCTTATTGGCCATTTTCTGCCACCTAAAGTGTGAAAACATCATGTGGGGCGACCACTTGTCATGTGGGGTAACCAACCATATTCAATTCTGTAGTAAATTTAAAAAATAATGTCTGTCCATTTTGGTTGAAATATAATTCATTGGTATAACATCAATAAGTGGATACTATATCTACACATTTTAAATCAGTTTTATGGATTATATGAGTAAAAAAAATATGTAATTGCTTTATGAGGGTGACACTGCCATTATAGATAAAAATGTATTTAACATCATTTGCAATAAATGAAAGGACACATGAGTATATCTTTCTTAAACAGTTCAATTAATTACTGATACTTCTTAAAATATAACTCATGTAAAGGAAATCTATTAATTTTGAGATAAATTACGGTCGCCCCAAATGACTTTTTTAAGGTCGTTGCCCTATTCATTTGAGTTTAAAAGCACTAAAATATCTTTGTTTGAAGTTTTCACACACATGCATGTGTAGACTACACTCCAAATGTTTAGAAAATAGCCAAATATATTATTATTTCAAGTATTTTAAAAACGGGCCTCTCAAAGGCCTTATACGTCATTGACCCAAATGTAAGTACACATTGATGGCCTAAGACATGAAACGAGCGGTTTGTGTGAGAAAACGAACAGTATTTATATCGTTTTTACCTCTTGTAAACACAGCCACGTCCAAGTGATCTCTCGCGCGTGTACGTCACTCATTGTTTACACAGAACAGAGATTGTAGGTAAGACGGCTAATTAAAATGGTACTAATTTGCGCTTATCCGGGATGTTTAAACCGTCGTAAAAGAAAACAATTAAAAAAAATAAAAAATAAAACAATTGTATGAGTGACGTACACGCACGAGAGATCACTTCCGGCGCTTGCCGGAAAAGACCGAATCGCCGGCGCCCTCAGATCACTTGGACGTGGCTATGTTTACAAAAGGTAAAAACGATATAAATACTGTTCGTTTTCTCACACAAACCGCTCGTTTCGTGTCTTAGGCCATCAATGTGTACTTACATTTACGAGTCATTAAATCATGTTTAATTTGGACTTCTCTGTGCGTGCTCTTTGAGGAAGTGACCATAGACCTGCATTATATGACTGACAGACAAGAACGTTTGGAGCAAAATATATAGAGCAAATAACCCTGTTATAGAGCAAATAAACAACAAAGAAAATTGTAAACATGGAAAAATAAATCAGCAGCCGGTATCGGAATCGGGCAAATTGCTTGTAAAAAAAAAACCATCTGAATCGGCAATGAAAAATCCTGATCGGTGCATCCCTACTTGAGTCCGAAGTGGCAGATCTGCTCAAATGTTTGATTTAATAAATCTAAAATGATTAATTATAAAATGGATAGTTCTGACACTAAAATCTGGTTGAATGAGCCACATTGGAGTCTTTCTATTGCCTAAAAGTCTACGATTGATCTACAGTCTATTTTGCTTGAATGTCTTAAAGGTGCAGTGTGTAAATTTTAGCGGCATCTAGCGGTTCGGTTGCGAGCAATGGCTCAGCCCACTGCTCACCCCTCCCTTTCGAAGAAGCTACGGTGGCTCAAACGGGACAAACATATCGTCGTCTGAGACAGCAGAGAATAGCCAGAGTAAGCCAAGAGTGTGTAACATTGTCACTGTTTCTGTACCACAGTCCATTATAAACCACATCATGGATAAAGTTTACAAAGCCATAGTCAGGTGAGGATCAAGGGTCTTAATATATAATATAATAATAGTAATCAGCTGATTGTCTCACAAACGTAACCAGCACATTTCTCCCCACATAGCAAACCCATAATACAGCGAGGGAGAAGAACCACATGAAACTATACAACTATATATGTTTTCTAATAGGGTAGTAAAAGTTTAGCTGGCTAATATGAGCTGTTACTGTGGCTGAGCTGGTTAAAGCGTAAAGCCTTGTTTAAACTCGACGCGTCCGCATGAGCCCAAAGGTGCGCGGCAAAAATGACATGATTGTAACAGCACGCGCCTCCAAATCCCCTAGACACCTTTTACTACACACAAATTAATAAATAATAATGAATGAAAATATTGTTTTTTTTCTCTGGTTTTGAAAACTCTTCGCGATCGACTTAAAATGCTTCCGAGATCGACTTGTCGATCGCGATCGACGGGTTGGCGACTCCGGTAACGTTACTGTTTTACGGTCAATAGTGCTAATCAGCTGATTGTCAAAGCCATAACACAGCGAGGGAGAAGAACTAAGTTACATGAAACAATCCAACCACATATTTTACACCACTGACAAGGGAAAAGTCACCACTCACGGTGTCTATGGCTTCTAGCTTTCTGCGGCTTCTCTTTCAAGGTATGAACAAAACGCGCTCTGTAGCGCTGTGTGTTCGCTGTCGGCTACGGTAGAAACATGACGTCACAATATGTCGACCTTCATAGAAGGGGGAGCCCGCGGTTATGTAGATATAAATGCCTCATTCTAAGGTAATAAAAACATAACGGTTTATTAAGTAAGGTCTTTATACACCACTGAACACATAGTTATGGATCTTATATTGCATTTCTGTCAATAGATCCTCAGAAATATTACACATTGCACCTTTAAAATAAAATAAACTGTTGGAGAAAAAAAATCATGCAAGCCAAATATAGGACCCACAAACAGGGTTAAAAATGAGGCCTGAACTAAAAAAAAAAAAAAAAAAAAAAAGACAGTCTGTGCCTTTAAAAATTCACGGAGCAAATAAATGCAGCATATTCCTGTAAAGTGCAATAGAGTCGAACCATGCATGACAGTGTATGATTTCCGTTGTTCCTCTGAAGGACGACCCTATTGGAAACCTGAACACTGCGTTTGAGGTGGCAGAGAAATACCTGGACATCCCGAAGATGCTGGACGCTGAAGGTGAGTGAAAGCATGCCTCAAATCAGGCCTACTTTTATGGCCTTAAACTACAATTTTGTCTTATCTTAAAAGGTATGACAAAAATGATTGTTATAAGAGGTTTTAAATTTGGGGACCGAATAACAAGAATCATGATATGGTCTAATGTGATTATTACACTTCAAAAGGTGATGCTGGTGCATGTTTTACAGGTAATCAATGACTATCACACATTTATGCCAAATTATTGCTTATTATCTATAGATTATGACAGTGTTGACTTTGTGGTTTTTATATTGTAAGCATTCTTAGCTGATTGTAAGAGTGCATATTTGATGTAGTAAAAGCATAGACATTTCAAAATAAAAGTCCCGCCGTATTTCGGGCTTGTTTATCGAGTATCCTGCATTTTTAACATTTTTATTATTGGTATTTTGATGACACAAACTGTATCTGGCATTTAATTCAAAGTAAACTCTTGTGGCTTTTCTCTTGGCCGGCCCGAAACAAAAGACAAAACATTATTTAACACGTTCATTATATAGATTTTACTAGTATTGGTACAATAATCTGTTTATAGCACTTGTTTAAATACATTATTATCAATCCAATATTGATCGTATGCCTCTATGTGTTGGTAAATAAACCATTTTCAATACATATATTGAATAAAACATGTAGATTGCAAATACCCTGTTTTGCGATTAAATGTGTGTTTACCCTGTTTAATTAAGTAAAAAAAAAAAAGAGATACACTACATTTATTTTGAGATTATATGGTTCTGGGCATACATTATTCATTTTATTTGTGCATGTCTTAAAAATCTGAAATTTGGTTTTAAAACCAATTAACCTTCATACATGATTAGGAGGAGGAGATGCATGTAACACACAACATTTACACCCGCCTTTCATTTAAAAGAGCCAGTCATCTTTTTGATAAGACTATTTACTTCAAGTACATTTGCAGTAGCTGGACCAGCCGGAAAAACACAACTTTTTAGTATAATCTGAGCTTAACCTGTTAGTTTTTTTCTCAGTAAGAGGGATCATATTTCATATTAAAGGCATGAGCTTTCTAATGATCTATAGTTTGTCAAAGTTAAATAAAGACTTAATAGTTTATTTATGGAGAACACACACATATATATATATATATATATATATGTCTACTTTTTTTAACCTACTAACAAGTGGTTAAACATATATATATATATATATATATATATATATATAAAATATATACCACCGGTGTTCTACCACATGTTAGCAGGTTAAAAAAAAAGAGTAGACATTTATGATGCCAAGGTTGTGGGGTTTTATTGCTGATTTGAAATGTTATTAAACTGTAATCTTGACAAACCAAGTTGCCCAAGATGACCGTGGACTTCAACTCCACTTGATTCTCTCTTACTTTTGTCCTCAGACATCGTTAACACCCCTAAACCTGACGAGAAAGCCATCATGACCTACGTGTCCTGCTTTTACCATGCTTTCGCCGGTGCCGAACAGGTAACAGTCGCCACAAATCAAATTTCATTCAATTTCTTAAACTAAAAAAAGGCTATCATGATTACAGTGTAAGATCAGTTTGTGTAAATGATTGAAGGAAAATGATTTCAGTAATGCATTGAGCTTCCAGACGCACTCCAGCGTAACGCAGAGTAAATGAACGTGTAAATTAAGTGAGGAGACTTGGATACAGGCGCATTAACTCCACACAGAATTGGTTATGTCACTAAATGAGCTGCTGGTTTTCTCCGTCTCTCGTCAGGCCGAGACGGCTGCTAACAGAATCTGCAAGGTTCTGGCTGTGAACCAGGAGAACGAAAGGCTGATGGAGGAGTATGAGAAACTGGCCAGTGAGGTGAGGAGATCTGCATGTTTCACAAACCTGTGCAACACTGATTCCAATAGAGTGTTCCAAAAGTTCCAACGTTCCAAAACTTCCAAAGTTCCAAAGACGAGTTAGAATAGTTTGTAAGTGTGTGATTATAAACTAAAAGTGAGTAGATGAGTTTTACTGGTCAGCTTGATGATGTTTAATGTTCCCGAAAAGGTCTGTAGTCCCATTTAGCCACTTGATGGCAACCGCCTTTTTCAAGACATTGTAAAGGCGTAAAAAAAAAAGAAGTATTTTATGTTGTATAATGAAAATTATTCTTGCGCTTGTATTCACCGCAGACCTTATTTCAGGCATTAAACCAAAAACCCAGTAAGACAAGACAACTGGAAAAATGCTAACGTTTCTGGGTTTTAGGACTCATACTCAGACAAAATACATATAACACAAATATTGGTTGAAATAGTACCTTTTTTATAAGTGTAACTCTTTTATATCAGAGCTTCTGAAGTTACAGTAAAACACAACTTGGGGGCGCTCAAACACAAAACGGTCTTGCCGAGCACACATACGTAACGGCGGAGAAGATATACGCCAAGTAGCGTCTACCATAGATATCCATAATAAAGGCTAGATGTCTCGTCCGCGCTGCTGGCCAATGGAGGTGGACGTCCGCACCTGGCGGCCATCTTGTCACAGGCAGCTCGCTCACTCATAACATTGTGTTTTAATGGTGCATGTACTTTTTAAATAACCATAACTTGCTCAATTTTCTACCGATTTTCAAACGGTTTGGTTTGTCATAAACGTCAGAGATGTAGTTATGACACTGCATACTTATGAATAATAAGTGTATCAATAAATAATCATCCAGAAGTATAGCCACGTTAATAACGTTTGTAAGAAACCAAACCGTTTGTAAATCCGCCAAGATTTCAACGAGATAAGAGTATTTGTGTTCGTGCTGATCACTCATCTTACATCAGGCACCACAGAGCCCGCCAGAAAGCTTGCCTGTGACAAGATGGCCGCCGGTGATGATGATAGAGACTCTTTGAGCAGACAAAATACATATAACACAAATATTGGTTGAAATAGTACCTTTTTTATAAGTGTAACTCTTTTATATCAGTCCTTTTCAATAAGAAACGCATCTTAAACCAGCCTAACCAGTCAGCAAGCTGGTTTCCACAAGTCACGCTGGTGTGGATTGATGGTTTTGGAGACTAGCCGGCTACTGTAAACTTGGGTTTTCAGCCAGGGCAGTAAGTAAAACACAGGTTTTGGGGTTTTTCTGATTGTTTAACTGGTGCTGGCATTTCTAAACGGCCGTAGCCTTGAAACATAGCCGTTTGCATTGCCAAATGCATTAAATGTACACGAAAAATCTATCAAATGACACTGCCCTTAAATTGGCCGGCCATTTCGGATGAAAACTTTGGGTGTTTTAATGGTGAATTTCCACACAAAAAAAAAAGTAATTTGTTCACTGTTTCCCGTCAGGAGCCATTTAGGTGGCATCTCACTAGGGTTCGGGAAAAAACCTAATCTTGTTCCTTCTAAACCTCCCAACATTGTCTCATGCCCATCATTCTCCGTCCTGACCTCTGTAGTTGTTGGAGTGGATCCGTCGTACCATCCCGTGGCTGGAGAACCGCGTGGCGGAGCAGACCATGCGAGCCATGCAGCAGAAGCTGGAGGATTTCCGGGACTACAGGCGCGTCCACAAGCCTCCACGCGTTCAGGAGAAATGCCAGCTGGAGATCAACTTCAACACCCTGCAGACGAAGCTGCGCTTGAGCAACCGCCCGGCCTTCATGCCCTCCGAGGGGAAGATGGTGTCGGTAAGTCATGAAACACATTGCAAAACTTGGGTTTCTTCTTCAGGCCCCAATTCTGGCCTTTTTGAAAAGCATCTTCCGCATGCTGGTCCTAAGGTTGAAGACTGCTAGCAGCTCCACTTTATCAATAGCCACTCCCACTCCTTAGAAATCAGCCAATCAAACACTGTAAAAAGTGATCAGGTGACTTAACTTTAAAAAAATTGAGGGAACTCGTTGCCTTAAAACTATTAAGAAAATAAACTTCATGTTTAATCGAAAAAATTAAGTAATGTGGAATTTTTTCAATTAAGCATTACGTTTATTTACTTAAAAAATAGTGAATCATGTAAATTGATTGAGATTTGACTCATTGATCAAGGTACGATTCGAAACTAAGCGTGTGTTTGTGTTTTTGCAGGACATTGCTAATGCATGGAAAGGTTAGCCAATAAAACACTGTAAAAAGAGATCAGGTGACTTGACTTAAAAAAAAAATTAGGAAACCGTTGCCTTAAAATTATTAAGTAAATAAACTTCATGCTTAATCTAAAAAAAAAAATTAAATTAAGCTTTAAGTTTATTTACGCAACAGGTTTCCTTAATTTTTTTAAGTGAACTGAACACTTTTTACATTGAATCATGTAACTTTAACTTTAAAATAATTGAGGATTATTAAGTAAATAAACTTCATGCTTAATCGGAAAAAAAAATAAGTAATGTGGAATTTACTTAAAACAATTAAGGAAACCTGTCGCCTTACAATTATTAAGTAAGTGAACTGAACACTTTTTACAGTGAATCATGTAAATTGATTGAGATTTCACTCATTGATTAAGGTACGATTCGAATCTAAAGGCCTGTTCACACCGGGACGAATTTCGCGCGCGATATTCGCCGACGTTTAACGCCTCGTGACTAAACAAAGGGCGCCAATGTGAGTGTGCACACCGACGCGAAAAACGCCACGCGTAAAAGCGTAATTTTTTAAAAACCGCCTCAGGTTCGTTTTTTTGGTTTGACGCGCCGCGTCAAAAACTATCCGACCAATGAGATTGCCGCTTTTGCTCACGTGTCTGGAGCTTCTGAAGTTACAGTAAAACACAACTTGGGGGCGCTCAAACACAAAACGGTCTTGCCGAGCACACATACGTAACGGCGGAGAAGATATACGCCAAGTAGCGTCTACCATAGATATCCATAATAAAGGCTAGATGTCTCGTCCGCGCTGCTGGCCAATGGAGGTGGACGTCCGCACCTGGCGGCCATCTTGTCACAGGCAGCTCGCTCACTCATAACATTGTGTTTTAATGGTGCATGTACTTTTTAAATAACCATAACTTGCTCAATTTTCTACCGATTTTCAAACGGTTTGGTTTGTCATAAACGTCAGAGATGTAGTTATGACACTGCATACTTATGAATAATAAGTGTATCAATAAATAATCATCCAGAAGTATAGCCACGTTAATAACGTTTGTAAGAAACCAAACCGTTTGTAAATCCGCCAAGATTTCAACGAGATAAGAGTATTTGTGTTCGTGCTGATCACTCATCTTACATCAGGCACCACAGAGCCCGCCAGAAAGCTTGCCTGTGACAAGATGGCCGCCGGTGATGATGATAGAGACTCCGCCGTAAGACATCTAGCCTTTATTATGGATATCTATGGCGTCTACACTGCCGGGAAGAAATAAGACGAGGAAGATGCAAGCCAAGATAAATACCGTAAATACTTGCTCTCTTCTTCTGAGTGACAAGCGAGTGTCAGAAGCGTAAAGTTGCGCTGCGCCACCTTGTGTACCGCGGTATTTCTGTTTTACATTAAGCGCCATCTAATGTCAGGGAATGAATTTGCATGTTCACTCGGCTCATCGTCAGCGAAAATCGCTTGGGTGTGAACACAAAAAACACATTGAAAAACGCTGGCGAATAACGCGCGGCGATATTCGTCCCGGTGTGTACGGCCCTTTAGCGTGTGTTTTGTGTTTCGCAGGACATTGCTAATGCATGGAAAGGTCTGGAGCAAGTGGAGAAGGGCTATGAGGAATGGCTCCTCACTGAGATCCGTCGTCTGGAGAGACTCGATCATCTGGCCGAGAAGTTCAAGCAGAAATGCTCCCTGCACGAGTCCTGGACCGGAGGTACTCGTGCTCGGTTCAAATCTAGGAGGTCTACAATACCTGGAGAAAACTAGCCGTTAGCGTTCCCATTCATCTCTAAAATACGTGATCCTTTCACACTTTCAAAAGAGGAATACTGTAGATCGCTGGTAAAACGCTGTGCGCAATATTATATGTCGCTTACACTGCTGTTTTCATATGGCCATCAAACTCTGGGCTCTTGACACCAATCTGCCTTAATGTGCGGTCACATTTAGCGTTGTTTGTTGAATTTACACAGGCGAAATCTAGTCACTTCAATAGGAATCCACATTATCTGGAATTTTTCATGAGGCCAAAACTTTTACTACTGGTTAAAGTTCAATACTGGGACACTAATACTGGAACAAATACTTTTATAAAGTAAAAAGTGGGCCAATTTAGTCCCAAGAGATATTGAAATCATACACTTGCATTTATATTAGTACACTTACTACATAAAGAATACTTGGAAAATATACTTTAACTTCATTTAAGTTTACTATATATTAAGTTTAAGTATACTAATAATAAATATACTTCTTTTTTAGTCATTTCAATAGGAATCCACGCAATCGTAATTTTTTTCCCATAAAGATTTCGCAACAAAAGTTTATGATTCTTACATATTTTGTGCGTCAGAATAATCTTCTCATATGAACACGACTTTTAGTAGATGTTTAAACCTAAATACAATCGGCAGAAGTAAAAAGCTTAACGTAGGCGATAAACGAATGGTTGTACGACTTCAACGTTACCACTGAGTCTTTCAATTTTTACTTAAAGTCTTCAAGATGTTAAGTTTGAGTTAGGATAGTTTGCAAGAGTGTGAGTATAAACTCAAGGCTTTAAAAGTGGACTAGTGAGCAGATGAGGTTTTCAAGATTTCCCTGCGCAGATTTCTCAACAGGTTCAAGTTGGTCACACGGATCCGCAACGTTGGCCAACAGATGCTTGGTTTGAAAGTGACTTCAGTGTCAGCTGTGCTTCATACTAGAGGTCGACCGATTGATCAGTTTTGCAGATTAAATAACCAATTGTTCCAGCAAAAACCCATACCGATATTTTTTCCGGGTTCGTCCGTTGCTGGAGCGGCTGAGAAGCGCCTGCTGTCATTATACAGTACGAGAGCGCCCTCTAGAGGAGGCAAAAAAACATCATGGCGCTCGTGGAGTTTGTTTTGACACGTGAGACTGCGCTACGGAGCGGGTGTAAAACAGATAATGGATAATGAAATCGTTTGTACACTGTAAAAAAATATCGTGATTTTAACGGTAAAAGACCGTTAAAAATGCTACAGTGAAAAACTGTTAATTGGTTAACAGAAAGTTTCCTTACTATATACACGGTAAAAAACTGTTATAGATCTAATGGTAGATGGTATACACTAATACCGTTAAATTGACAGTTTTTGAAAGTGAAAAAGAACAACTCATTGTATAATTTACAGTGAAAAAACATAAATTGACATTCCCACAATTCCCTGCGTGACACTTCACATTTGATTTGTATTTTTGTTGAAATACTGTTTCTCCATAGTTTTTTTCTAATCAGTTATGTACATTAGGGTTTTATGTTACATTTAATGTTGTTAAATGAATGTTTATTGCATTTTTAAAATTTCATGTATGTTACCATGATGGTGTTTAATGTTTGTGTGAATGACTCTGTGCAGCTTCTTATTATTATTATTATTATTCATTGTCATTGCAAGTACAACGAAATTACATTTTTTTTCTATTTTTTATTTCTATATTATTTATTAACTTTCATGTGGAAAAGTGATTGTGATGAGCTTTAATTTATCATGTGACTCATCACTGCTGTGATTATAGGATGTCAGTCTGTTACAATGGTACAAAACAGATATTAATACTTTAATAGGTTAGTAAATTAACATTATATCAGATTATGAAATACGTTTTATTTCTGTTAATTTAAGTCTGTAAAACCAATAATGTTGCTACCGTATTTTTGACGGTAAAGTTCTGGCAATCACAGCTGCCTTTTTTACAGTGTATACAGTAATATACTACCATACATGTTTTCATATCATTATAAACGTATGACTAGATGCTGCATTGGTGGAGAACAGCAGTATATGTTTGGCGTCGATACTGAACGGATGCTGACGTTAGTAGCTCAAGCGATTAGATAGATAGATTTTAATTGGAAATTTGTTTCCACCATAGGTGCGTCCATAACTCAAACACACATATCATGTTAAAAAATGGCCAGAAGGAAGGAGGATAAAATATTAGTAAAGTGGATGATCTGAGTCGTTTAAGATTTTTTGTGACTTTCGCAAAGTGACAAAAACACGCAAGCCCGACCCAAATGTTTAATGTCATGATTGTTGCCATCTATTTTCATTAGTTTATTTCCAGATGGTCGCTTTTATGCATTCATTAGCCGGCGAAGTTTCATATTTAAAGCTAATGATGTGAGAAAGCAAACTGTATCGTCATGCAAACGACAGTAAACAAATCAGTAACGCATTTGATTTCAGTTCTTTTTTATCATCACCGACCGTAATACATATCTTGTTATTTTGATCATCATCAAGTGTCCTAAAATAGAAGCAAATAACGTGTGAGAGTATACATACAATATACGTGTCTAACTTCAGTGCTATGGCCTTAGTGTAGATATATAAAGATGGCCAACTTCAAGCATGTATGGATTAATATGAAATGGTAACACTTTACGATGTGTCCATTTTTAACTGTAACTAAGGTTAATAAAAGTATTGTTAATTTGTTATTGTTTAACAATACATTTTAAAGTTGTATCTCTTAAAATTAGTTAAAACACTATGAACCAACATGAATGTTCAAGGTATAATTCATATATTTTTATATTAAAAAGTATAGAACACTTTCATGGTTCATTGTTTTTAAATTTTTGTAATGAAGTTTAGCACTATTTTATGTGTTATGCTTGTTTTCATTCAGTATCCATCGGTTGATTAATCGGTTATCGGTCAGCGTGGTCCAACCTAGTTATCGTTATCGTTAATATCCACTATCGGTCGACCTCTACTTCATACATCATTACACTATTGGCACTAGACAACGGACTTAATTGCCTGAAAAATGTCACTATTGTGACTCCCATCTTTACAGCAAAACGAACATATGCAGGCAGTCCAGAATGCGTTTCTGATTTGAGGTTCTCCGTTTGCAGGGAAGGAGCACCTGCTGTCTCAGAAGGACTACGAGACGGCCTCTCTGATGGAGATCCGGGCCCTCATGAGGAAGCACGAGGCGTTCGAGAGCGACCTGGCCGCCCACCAGGACAGAGTGGAGCAGATTGCAGCCATCGCTCAAGAGCTGAAGTAAGAAGGCTTTAATGGGTGAATCTCACGAAACCTGTCAGAAACATGTCTGGGTCATATTTCACCCCAAAATCAAAAGAATGAAATACGTAATAATATATTGTTGTTATGCAGGTGAAACTCGAAAAATTAGAATATCGTGCAAAAGTTCATTTATTTCAGTAATTCAACTTAAAAGGTGAAACTAATATATTATATAGACTCATTACATGCAAAGTGAGACATTTTAAGCCTCTATTTGTTATAATTTTGATGATTATGGCTTACAGCTTATGAAAACCTTCTAGCTATCTAATTTTGAATTTGGGGTTTTCATAAGCCCATATTCAATTATTGTAAATATCATATTCAAATTTTTCGAGTTTCACCTGTATGCTAATATACACTCACCTAAAGGATTATTAGGAACACCTGTTCAATTTCTCATTAATGCAATTATCTAATCAACCAATCACATGGCAGTTGCTTCAATGCCTTTAGGGGTGTGGTCCTGGTCAAGACAATCTCCTGAACTCCAAACTGAATGTCAGAATGGGAAAGAAAGGTGATTTAAGCAATTTTGAACGTGGCATGGTTGTTGGTGCCAGACGGGCCGGTCTGAGTATTTCACAATCTGCTCAGTTACTGGGATTTTCACGCACAACCATTTCTAGGGTTTACAAAGAATGGTGTGAAAAGGGAAAAACATCCAGTATGCGGCAGTCCTGTGGGCGAAAATGCCTTGTTGATGGTAGAGGTCAGAGGAGAATGGGCCGACTGATTCAAGCTGATAGAAGAGCAACTTTGACTGAAATAACCTCTCGTTACAACCGAGGTATGCAGCAAAGCATTTGTGAAGCCACAACACGCACAACCTTGAGGCGGATGGGCTACAACAGCAGGAGACTCCACCGGGCACCACTCATCTCCACTACAAATAGGAAAAAGAGGCTACAATTTGCAAGAGCTCACCAAAATTGGACAGTTGAAGACTGGAAAAATGTTGCCTGGTCTGATGAGTCTCGATTTCTGTTGAGACATTCAGATGGTAGAGTCAGAATTTGGCGTAAATAGAATGAGAACATGGATCCATCATGCCTTGTTACCACTGTGCAGGCTGGTGGTGGTGGTGTAATGGTGTGGGGGATGTTTTCTTGGCACACTTTAGGCCCCTTAGTGCCAATTGGGCATCGTTTAAATGCCACGGCCTACCTGAACATTGTTTCTGACCATGTCCATCCCTTTATGGCCACCATGTACCCATCCTCTGATGGCTTCTTCCAGCAGGATAATGCACCATGTCACAAAGCTCGAATCATTTCAAATTGGTTCACTGTACTAAAATGGCCCCCACAGTCACCAGATCTCAACCCAATAGAGCATCTTTGGGATGTGGTGGAACGGGAGCTTCGTGCCCTGGATGTGCATCCCACAAATCTCTAGTGCTGCCGCGATTAGTCGACTTAGTCGACGTAATCGAACATGCAAATTAGTCGACGGCAATTTTTTTAGTCGACGTGTCGTTTTACTATTGACCGCTATTTATTTTTGGTCTCCCGTCACAAACGGCTCACTGTAATTCACCTCCACACACCAGTCTGTGCGCCGTGCGCACCCTGCTGGTTTGTCTGCTATCATTTTCCTTCACGTTCCCGCCCGCCTTCACTGCTTTGATATGAAAAATTGCGGAGGCAGGTGACGGAGCTTTCACAGTGGGCTCGTTTGCTGCGGTCCGAGTCCGAGCGCGAGCGCGATTGTTCCCGGCGCCCCCCGCAGCGTTGGTCTGGTTTCACACTCAATTCTATCGAACCCTGTTGAGTTTGCGTGCATCTTATGCCATCGCAAACGTGCACGGCGCATGATAGAAAACAGAACGCGGGTCAATATATTGTGTTTTTCAAACGGACTCTTTTGAGGAGACAGTGGATTTCCAAATGTGTTGCCCTGATTGCACGCGCAATGCGCGAATACACTGCAGACTCAACTCTCGCGTATCCAAGGTAAATCATCAACACTATCATCCCTTACATGTGTTTTATTTAACTAAATGCATCATAATCAGCTAAAACGCATGGGCAGGTTACTTAACTTCCTGAACAAGCGCTCCCGAGTCCGTGTTGCTTTCACATTCACGCGAACCGCGGCACGGGCCCGCCATGCACGCAAGTGTAAACGCGAGCTACATAACTGCGTGCCTGCCTGCTTTCAGCGCGACTCATAGTGGGCTAGTCCAGACTCTTTCAATTCAATTCCAATTTATTTGTATAGCGCTTTTCACAGAAAATGCATTGCATCTACTTTACTATTCAGAGTGATGTTATCAGTTATGCTTTTCAGAAATGTACATAAATTAATCAATATTAGCTTACTGTACATTTTTTAAGGCAGAACAAAGAGCTAATTTAAGTAATACATACATGTTTGTTATTAGAGGATTAGATTAGGACTCTGACTAATATGGTATAGCCTAATGGAAATGCAGATACTTAATGCTTAGATTGTTAATACATAATGTTTTTGAACAGGTGACATTTTATGTTTTGGCCCTTCAGTTGAGTTCAAAATAAAATGGACACAACGAAATAAACTCTAACTTTTAATTAGTCGTTTAGATTAGTCGACTAATCGAAAAATTAGTCGAAAGATTAGTCGTTAGAAAATTAGTCGTTAGTGGCAGCACTACAAATCTCCATCAACTGCAAGATGCTATCCTATCAATATGGGCCAACATTTCTAAAGAAGGCTTTCAGCACCTTGTTGAATCAATGCCACGTAGAATTAAGGCAGTTCTGAAGGGGGTCAAACACAGTATTAGTATGGTGTTCCTAATAATCCTTTAGTTGAGTGTATTTGGTTACACTTTATTTTGATGGTCCCCTTTAGACATTCTGTTGTCTATAATATATTTATAATAATAATTATATACTGTAAGTGTAGCCTAACGTTGCAACTACATGTTGCAAAGTCACTTATAGTCAGAAGAATGTCTGTTGGGAAGCATCACAATAAAGTGTTAGCAGATATTATGCAGAAAAATTATATTAATACTCTAATGAGAGTTAGTTTAAAAGTCAACAATGTCTGAAGTGGCCCATCAAAATATGTTTAATAATGAATCCATACATTATTTAACACAATGACAGGTTTCATCCAGAGATCTCCATACAGCTTTTCAAAGGTGCTCAGATTTGTCTTTCTCTCTGACTAGTGAGTTGGACTATCATGATGCCACTTCAGTCAACGCCCGCTGCCAGGGCATCTGCGACCAGTGGGACAACTTGGGAACCCTCACCCAGAAGAGAAGAGACTCTCTAGAGGTGAACACACCTCAATCAAACTCACATCTATAACAGTTTGAAGGCAAATATTAACTGCCCGCTGTGAAGGTGCAAATGGGAATAATACCAGTCATGCAAAAATTCTTCAGACACCTTCAACATGTCTCACATTATCACAGTTTATTCGCTATAGTTTAGAAAATGGTAATAAAATATGACAAGAACTCGAGAACTAAATCAGTTGATACTGTATTTCACTGGTTTTGTCCATCCTTCTGTTAGACTGTCTCACTCACAGTTGAATTATGTTGAATAGCTGTCAGATGTTAAATTTAACTACACAATTAGATAATACCAGTTTAGATCAACCGATTACCAAGCAATGCTTCATGTTGTTCAGTCTGTGGTGTAAAAATGCCGCATTAGCAAAAAGAAAAAACACTTCAGCAAAACAAGGTCAGCTCAAAGTGTCTGAATCATTTTTGGCCCCAAATTTGTATTATTTTTACTGGTAGTTGGGTATAATACATCACAGTTTACTTTTGTTTTGCTCTCCTCACTTACATAAATTAATGAACTATAGTGTCCTGCACCCACTTGTAAAAAAAATATAAACAATTACATCTGTTTGAATAATCTTTGGTTTGACTGAATGTAAAAAGATGATCAGGAAATGATTTGTGAACGTTTTTTGCTAATTACTGTAGCCTTTCTCTTTCTTCCACCAGCGTGTAGAAAAACTGTGGGAAACAATTGATCAGCTGTACCTGGAGTTCGCCAAGAGGGCGGCGCCGTTCAACAACTGGATGGATGGAGCGATGGAGGATCTGCAGGACATGTTCATTGTGCACAGCATTGAGGAGATCCAGGTTAGAAGCAGGAACGTTTTATGCACAATTGATTTAATATACTGTGCATTGAGGTGCAGGTTTAAAGATGACGCTAAACTGCAATTGCAATGCATTAAACTTCCATAATGCGATGCATTTCCAAGTGAAAAGAATATTCAGCTTGAAATAATACCATAATATTGGGAGAAAGCCTGCAGTCTCTTGCGTTCTCAGAATTTAAAAGCACCAATGTTTATGCCAAAGTCCCAAGTCATTTCATTTGCTGGCCGTCTTTGAAACGCCTCTCGAGCAGCTATTTCAGTCATAGAAGTACTGAATACTGTACTATCTCTCTGAATGGGTAAACATCCATCCAGTTCTCAAAGCTGTTCACTAATGGCGCTTTTCCACTGCATGGTACAGTATGGTACGGCTCGGCTCGCTTTAAATGGTACCACCTCTGTCGAGGTTCCAACCGTACCGTACCGATACTTAAATGTGACGTGAACACACTGCAGATCACTGATTGGTCAGACAGAATCTTCACTACCAGCGTCATTGTATTTGCGAGACATCAAACCCGCTAGATTTAAATAGCCAGTAACAGCCACCGCTGTATAGGGGTGTAACGATATTTTAACCGAACTGAAAAACCGCGATACACCACCCACGATACGTATCGCGATACTCTCATGGCGAACCGAACGCGCCCCGCCCCCTGTGGCCCCGCCCAGCCCCGGCTCATTGCACCTCATGTGTTATGTGTACACAACGAATAGGGCTGTTGCCTAACCACCATTAACTACATATAATCGCAATAAGCTCAGTGTTTTGTTACTTTTGATAATAAGCCAGGTGTAATCTTTCAAATTATGTCTATTTGATCACGAAATGCAAACAATAAATGCCGTTTTGGCGCTCTTAGATGTGGCGTGACAGATATCACTGTATGCATGCGGCAGCGCGGAGCGCGATCATCTCTTCCTCAGTTACAGAATAAACATGAATGGACAACCGAAGGTATGTTGAAAGATACAGTATACTTACTGAAAGGCATCATAACTCGTGTAAACACTCAATCAGTGTTTCAACAGCGGAAATACGTCAATAAAACGCTTAGTTTTTCACATAGCTTTATATTTACCTCAGGCAAGTCATTCAGTGTCCACAGCTTGCTGGTTTGCTAACTCTTTCACTAAATAAATGCTATATATTAGTTTATATATTATATTTTACTTAACCTGTTTATGATATCTTGATTATTTAATGTATGTTTAAAATAGTTATCATGAAAATAACAGCAACTGTGTAAATTATTATATAACAATAACAAATTAGAGTAAAAACATGTTAATGCAAAAATGGCCTTATGTGCAGTTTACATGTTTTCATACAATTTGTTATTTGAGTGTTGATTATTATTATATCATTCAGGCTAAAAGTCTAGGCTCGATTGTTAAGCTTTAATGTTATAGTAATGTGCAAGTAAGGACTGTACTTTACAGCATTAGCTCAAACGTTTACTTGTAATTGAATTAATTTAAAGACAAGGACACAATTTGTTCATTAAAGCACTGTTTAATAAAAAATAAAAGCAATTTTAGCTTTCTAAACCCCCCCACCCCACCGAAATGAACCGAACCGAACCGAGACCTCAAAACCGTGGGACGAACCGAACCGTCAGGTTTGTGTATCGTTACACCCCTAGGGCACCTGTTTTAAAACCACTTGCTTGAAGAAAAAAGAAAGAAAAAAAACTTCCAAAAAAGAAATGGCTGAATCGTGGTCAGCGGACGAAGTGTAGACGTTCCTCTCGTTGGTTGCCGAGGAGCGGATAAACTATAACGATCAGACTATAATCCCACACACTTTGAAGCGGTACTAACGGCAGTGGAAAAGCAAACCGAGCTGAACCGAGCCGTGCCGTGCCGTGCTGAGTCGTATCACGCAGTGGCGAAGCGAGCCGAACCGAGTCGTACCACGCAGTGGAAAAGCGCCATAAGCTTATGATTAAACTTTATTTGAAATCACCAATGAAATTTGACAACTGTCTCATACATTTTGTTTCTAAATGATCAAATCATGACAAAAAATGCATCATAAGTGTCTGTCTTAGAACACTGATGACTTTACCAATTGCTGATTGGCTGTTTTATTTGGAAGGCGGGACTTATTCCGCCATATTGCACAGTGCACCTTCTCCCATTCAGAGTAATATGAGTGCATCGTCTTTGTATATCTATAGTCTTTGTTTAAACACTACTATAGGACATTTGCTGGTTATTGAACGGAGAAACTATTTCAACTACAGCTTTAATGTTTTTAATCTCCATTTGTCTTTCAGAGTCTGATCACAGCTCACGACCAGTTCAAGGCCACCATACCAGAAGCCGACAAGGAGCGCATTGCCATCATGGGCATCCAGAACGAAATCACGAAGATCGCTCAGACCTACGGCATCAAGCTGGTCGGAGTCAATCCATACACGGTCCTCAGCCCACAGGACATCAGCAACAAATGGGATGCTGTGAGTACAGAGTACACACACACACACACACACACACACACACACAATTTCAGGCCTGCCAACTCTCACTCTTTTTTTTTCTTGAGAAAAATAACTTGTATCTATACTATACCTAATTTTTATTCAAATGCATCGATATTGAATTAAGATCGGAATCAAATCACAAGAATTGAACTGAAATCGTGAAAATTTGTGTCAAGCAATAATAAAAACAGTAGCCAACCAGTCAGTGTACTATGTAAACATTGTAACATGTTGTCACTAAACTTAAAGGGATAGTTCACCCAAAAATGAAAATTCTGTCAGTAATTATGTGTTGTACGTCACACGCATCACACACACATGACCAGCGTCGGCCAATAGTGAGCCTGCGTGTGACGTGCAACCCAGAAGCGCTGCGCTGTTACACTACGGGAACTCACTCGAGGCCCACAGAGAAGGAAATGAATAGTTGAATAAAGTCGTTATTTTTGTTTGTTTTTTGCGCACAAAAAGTATTCTCGTCGCTTGATAAACTTAAGGTTGAGCCGCTGTAGACACTCGGACTATTTTAATGATGTCTTTCATAACTTTTCTGGGCCGGCAAGTTTCAATCCCTTAGAAGCCTATGGAGGAGTGATCCAGCTCTCAGATTTAATCACAAATATCTTCATTTGTGTCCCGAAGACGAACGAAAGTCTTATGGGGTTGGAACAACATGAGGGCAAGTAATTACTGACAGCATCTATCCCTTTAATAAAATTCTGTTTAGTTACCAAATGTTTTGACAATCACTATACACATTGTGTGTGATGCAAGTTTTTTTTTACACCCCCCTCCATAATTCTCACCCCAAGCTAAACTCAGAAGTGGTCAGCCCTGGTAATTGCCTTGATTCACTGCGACACTGGACAGACTGTATGATATAGTGCGGTGTTTTAAAATTCCTGCTGTATTTATTACATTTCTATTTATTAAATGTATAGTGTGTTTTTATTTACTTTTGTATTTTAGGATGCCTGTTAAGATCTGGCTAGGGACAACAGATGGAAACTAGCACTTGTAGCTAACTCTGGCTTGTAACTTGTTTGTTGATCAATGAGCATTGTCCCAATCAAATCAAAATAAATGAAATGGAAAGTGTGGTCTGTAGGTGAGGCAGCTGGTTCCCCACAGAGACCAGATGCTCCAGGAGGAGGTCGCAAGACAACAGGCTAACGAGAGACTGAGGCGCTCGTTCGCCGCTCAGGCCAACATCATCGGACCCTGGATTCAGACCAAGATGGAGGTGAGCTTGTTCAACAGGTGTTGAGTGTAATGAGTGTTGGGAAGTAACTAAAGAACAGCTGTCTTTTGAAGCTCATATTAACAGTGTTACCCGTGCTGGGTTCTTACAGATTAGGAATATAAATCGTCTGCGTCCTGTCCTTTCACTCGAGTAGCGCTACGCTTGTGCTTGCTCTTGCAACATCACGAATCGACTATTGTAATGCTTTGTTTTATGGGCGTCCTTCCAAAATCTCTTCATAAGGTCACTGGTACAAAATGAGTCATTACCAAAACTTCCATTTCTGAACATATTTCTCCTGTTTTACAAAATTTGCATTGGCTCCCAGTTAAATTCAGTGTACATTTTAAAATTTTACTTTTAACTTACAAAGCACTTTACAACTCGGCTCCTTCATATCTTCTAGAAACTCGAAAAATTTGAATATAGTGCAAAAGTTCATTTATTTCAGTAATTCAACTTAAAAGGTGCAAAGTGAGACATTTCAAGCCTTTATTTGTTATAATTTAAGGTTTTCATAAGCTGTAAGTCATAATAATCATCAAAATTATAACAAATAAAGGCTTGAAATATCTCACTTTGCATGTAATGAGTCTATATAATATATTAGTTTCACCTTTTAAGTTGAATTACTGAAATAAATGAACTTTTTTCGAGTTTCACTTCTGTTTCAGTTCATCAAGTAAAGGTAGGCTACATTAAAGTAGTTACAAGGTTTTATTTCAATTAACATTTATTTAAATTATTTTTTTAAATGGTTTTAGTTTACTTTAATAACCAATAACTGATAAGGAGGAAAAATAACCATGTTTAATTTCTTTGAATTATGATTAGCTTTTAGCATTTAGCTTGGTTGTGAAGCGACACTGTTTGCCGTTTCAGACTTTTGTTCTTCCTCTTCTAATAAACATTTGTTAACTATCTCTGTCTTTCTCTGTGTTGCTGTTATTAGGAGATTGGTCAGGTGTCGGTGGATATCTCCGGCTCTCTGGAGGAACAGATGAATAATCTGAAGCAGTACGAGCAAAACATCATTAACTACAAATCCAACATTGACAAACTGGAGGGAGATCACCAGCTCATTCAGGAGGCCCTCGTCTTCGACAACAAACACACCAACTACACCATGGAGGTACACACACACACACACACACACACACACACACACACACACACACTATGCGATTCCAGATAGGCTTAATGTTCAGAAGAACCATATGATCTTCCTAGTGCAAAACTTAGTGTTGCGTTATACGGAAGAACGGGGCTAGTTGTCACACTTCCTGTGAATATTTATTTATGAAAATCAATTTCTGTACACATATACACATTAAAGTCTTGACAGCAGCAAAGCTTTTAAAATTTGAACTAATATTGACCCTATAGCGGGCTAAGTTGTCACAATGGGAACCTTTTGTTTTATCGACACTGATTTAGGAGGAACACCTTTATTTGAAATATAGGTAACAAAAAACATATTTAAAAAATGTGTTTTATTTTTAATTATTTAATTACTTTTTAGCAAAATTTAAATTGTAAAACTATTATGAATCACAAAAAAATCAGGAAAATATCAGCAATTATGACCAATTTAACTTTTTTGTACAGTATATTAATGATTTAACCTGGTCTCCCCTATATTTGTTCATAATATTATCAATAAACGTGTGTGTAATGTGTGATTTTAGCGGCATCTAGTGGTGAGGTTGCGAATTGCAAGCAACTGAAGTTACGGTGGCCGACAGGAAGTGATGTCGTCGTCTGAGACAGCAGAGAGTAGCCAGTTAAACAACGAGGTTTCTTTACAAAGATACATTAAGAAATTAGGTTTACTTCATTATTCAGTAAAACGATATGTTATTGCGAATATTATTGTTACCTGTTCATCATTGTGTCAGTGTTTTATTCGCTGACTTAAGCTCGATCTTTGCACGAAGAACAACACAGTGACGAAACGCGTTTGTCCGTTCAGGGCCACCGTAGAAACATGTCGATGCGTGTAGATAAGACATCGCTCATTCTCAGGTAATAAAAACATATCGGTTCATTATGAAACGTCTTTACAGACCACTGAAAACATAGTTATGTATATGATATTGCATTTCTGTCAACAGATCCTCCTAAATATTAAACACCTTAAATGCACCTTTACGTTTTATCTTAACGCCTAGCCCAAAGTACTCTTTACAAGCTCACCATTAAAATAAATCAGAGGTAAAAAGACAGCATAATACATAACAAATGCACATTCCCTGATTGCGTCATTCCCTCCTCCAGCATGTCCGTGTGGGATGGGAGCAGCTGCTCACCACCATCGCTCGCACCATCAACGAGGTGGAGAACCAGATCCTGACCCGCGACGCCAAGGGCATCAGCCAGGAGCAGCTCAACGAGTTCAGAGCCTCCTTCAACCACTTCGACAGGGTCAGTGCGACGCACGGCAACATTCACATCTGAGCCAGGTATACAAGTGGATTCATGACTGTGTTTAACTTGCAGAAGAGAAACGGCATGATGGACCCCGACGATTTCCGCGCATGTCTGATCTCTATGGGTTACGATCTGGTGAGTGAAAGGGAAGCTCCGCCCACTTGCATATAGCCACACCCCTATTTAAAAAAACATTGTGACAAAATGATTTATCCTCACTAAACTACATGCAGTTATTATTCAAAGGTTTAGGGTTAACACGTTTTAAAAAAAAATGTTAAAGTCTCTTCCGCTCACAAAGGCGGTGTTTATTTGAACAAAAATACAGTAAAGCGGTAATATTGTAAAATATGATTAAAATAGCTATTTTTATGAGCTGTTTTCTATGGAAACTTGTTTCCGCCACAAAATAAAACATTTTAAAAGATAAAGGCGACTTTTTATCTCACAATAGTTAAATCTCGTAATTCTGACTTTCTCAGAATTGCTTTAGACTTTATAACACACGCAATTGCGACTTTATATCTCACAATTCTGACTTCATAACATGCAATTGTGATTTTATCAAGCAATTCTGTCTTTATAACTCGCAATTGTTAGAAAAAAAGTCTGAATTGTGAGATAAAAAGTCGCAATTGCCTTTGATTAATTACTTCTTTTTTTTACAATTTACACAATTTTATTTTAATTAAAATGATCAATATAAAATTACTTTTGTAAAGTTATCACTGTCTTTACTGACACTTTTGAAAATTTTTAGGCATCCTTGCTGAATAAAAGTATTTCTTAAAAAAAAAACTTAAACAAGAATTAAAATCTTTAAGAATTTTTTATTTTCAAATATTTTGCCAAATTTTTTATCACATAGTTTTACTACTTCAAATAATAATTCAAAGTTAAATTAACAATATAATAATAATAACTACAAATAATTTGACTAAATGTCCTAAATAAAGTAGGGCTATCACACATTTGATTTTGTTTTCAACACATTTGAATATTTATTTTATTTAGTTAAATTCTGATTTAAAAAATTATAATTCAATAAATTATTTTGGTGACATTTTTAAAGGTTTTTCTCTTTTTAGTTGAACACAATTTTGTAGCAAACCTACGGAAGCGTATTGCATTCACTTGAAGAAAAAAATCTACTCTGTTTTTCTGAATTAATGAGTTAATTATCTCAGAATTACGAGATAATTTTTCATGGGAAAAAGTTTTTGCTTTGTTTTTCTGAATTTCTGAGTTTTTGAGATAATCAAGTCATTAATTCAGAAAAACAGAGCAAAAACTTTTTTTCCGAGTTAATTATCTCAGAATTACAAGATAATTTTTCATGGAATTTTTTTTTGCTGTTTTTCTGAATTAATGACTTGATTATCTCAAAAACTCAGAAATTCAGAAAAACAGAGCGAAAACTTTTTTCCATGAAAAATTCTCTCGTAATTCTGAGATAATTAACTCGTTAATTCAGAAAAACGGAGCAAAAAAAAATTTCCATGAAAAATGATCTTGTAATTCTGAGTTAATTAACTCGTTAATTCAGAAAAACTGAATTTTTTTTCTTCAAGTGAATGCAATACGCTTCCGTACAAACCTCTCCATCATAATGAAAAAAAAAAAAAAAAAAAATGTATGTCGATATTTTGCCAACCCCCTACCAGGACCTCAATAGATGCTTTGCAGCACACCAATAACTGAGCACAAAGGTAAATGTGTATCTCGAACCTCATTGGCTGTTTCCTGACAGGGTGAGGTGGAGTTCGCCCGCATCATGACCCTGGTGGACCCCAACAACACGGGCGTGGTCACCTTCCAGGCCTTCATCGACTTCATGACGCGCGAGACCGCTGAAACCGACACTGCTGAACAGGTCGTGGCCTCCTTCAAGATCCTGGCCTCCGACAAGGTGAGATCAAGATCCGGTTTCACAAAGATAGACTTTTGACTACGGCTTAGATAGTCAGACTTCAGATAGACATCTAAATGTGCGTTACACAAAGCACTTAAGACTCTGACTATCTTAAGAAGGACTACACTGCAATGCATTCTGGGTAAAATCCGCTAAATTTCCCACGTAAAATGTCCTTGTAACTGTTACACTCCTCCAACACACACATATTTTCTGCTGGGGTAAACTGCACCGAGCGGTTAAATGCGCTTACTCGATCCACCATGTTTTTTGTTTTGAAAAGTCTTATTTTACCCAGAATGCATTGCAGTGTAGTCCTACTTAAGATAGTCAGAGTCTTAAGTGCTTTGTGCAACGGTCTGATTTAGATGTCTATCTGAAATCTGACTATCTACTATATCTAAGCCATAGTCAAAGTCTATCTTTGTGAAACCGGCCCCTGTCGTTTCTCTTCACTCCATGTGTGTCTCGGGGAGGATTTTGAATTAATCACAAGAACGTGTCTCTTCTTGTCCTTCAGCCCTTCATCACTGTGGAAGAGCTTCGTCGTGAACTGCCCCCCGAGCAAGCCGAGTATTGCATCAGCCGCATGACCAAGTACATCGGCCCCGAAGGGTCCTCTGGAGCCCTGGATTACATCTCCTTCTCCAGCGCCCTCTACGGAGAGAGCGATTTATAAACGTCTTTCATTTTCTCCTTCTTTCTCTCTCCTCTCGTTTTCTCCAAAAGCCCCCAAATGTAGCTTTCAATCTGAGAGAGAGTTAATAATATCCCTCGTTTCCCCCTCATAAATATTCTGTTTTTCTGTCTACATTGCTAGCTTTAACATCGTACTGTGTGTCTTACATCCACCCTATAAACGGAGGGATGATGTGCAACGGGGGTTTTAATCTCAAATTATGTCCAATTTGGATGGCAGACGCTTGTGTCTCCATACGCATCTGATATGAAGAGTCAACATGGAATCAAAACCGACCGTATTCACGTTCCTGATGGTCTTACGCTACGCAAATAATGTCTTCATAATCTTTCACTGAAATATAATAACTTGCTCCGCCTCTGAAACGACTTTCTGTTACAGATGGTGTCATCTAGGCCGGGAATGATTCGACAAATAGCCATTTTTAGGTTTGTAGGTTATTGTCTCACTAAAAATCTTGCCAATAGTCAATGCACACACATTCAGATCTGGATTTATTCTGGATATGAAACACTTTTCACCAACCAAATGGATAAAAAATAAGTCCCGCCCAACATTATAAAGGTTAAATGGGTTGTGAATGCGTTTCATGTTGACTTTAGCACTAAGCCTTATTTTTTTCTCTCTGTGCCTAAAAAAAACCTTCCAACGTGATAAAAGATATATTAAAAAGTGTGTTTGTTGATGCTAATAAGCGCTTGTGAAGATGCATGCTGCGTTTATTCTACTGGCATTAATATGCGAGAGAGACCCCCCTCTTGTTTGGTCTGTACTGTATTTTTAGACCCCAAAAAGCACTACTAGTGTCCAGTGTCTTCTTAATATGAAACTGTGAGAACAACTGATTCGTCTCCACACAGAACGATGTGTGTCTGTATGTTGTGTTGTCATGTGTCACCCCTTTAATATTGTTTATGATGTACGTCTTTCAAAGCAAATTCATGATTTGTTTTTCTTTTATTTGGAGCGGATGTGCCAAATTATCAACCAAAGCCAGTAAATGAAATTAAAGATGTTATGGCAAAGTGTATGTGTTGTAGCTACCGACCGGAAAAGTTTCTGCTAGCAAAAGTGCTGAACTAGAACCAGGTTTGCCTTAAACCCATCTGGAAAGACATTGAAATCCAGGGCCGTACAAGAAGGATTCATTAAATAAAAGCCTGGATATCGATGCAGTTGTGCTTATTTTGAGGCACGGTTTCACAGACAGGGCTTAGATTAAGCCAGGGTTCAATTATGACATCTAAGTAGCTTTTATAAAAGTGCTTTAGGACAAATAAAACATTTCTAGTGTGAATCCTGAGACAAAAACAATATCACTGATATGTTTTTTTTTATAGATAAATCACTGCAAGTTGCTTTCATTTAAAATATCTTAAACATGCATTTTAGTCGGGACTAGCTGCCTTATCTGTGAAACCGGTGGGTTAAGATTCTTGTACACACACCTGTAATAAATAGTCCACTCAAAAGTAAAGTTCTGTCATCATTTACTCACCCTCATGTCGTTCAAACCTGTATGAAATTCTGTATGTTTGGTGAAGTTGACCAGGATCTGTCAAGAAGATCGAAGGCCTAGTACTCCATATATATTCCAGGTTTTCTGATGATATATGTCAGCTTGTGAAAAACATACATTAATATGAGTTTAAAGGCCCGCTCGAACCAAGAACGATAACTATAAAGAACTATATTAGCGTCGACGCAACATTCTGCTTGTTATAAACGAGCCGTTATGTCTTCTGCCGCTAAATGTTCGCGCTCTTTTACGCTGGCTGGATTCTGATTGGCTGTCAATGTCTTTATTGTTAATCAGCGGGGAAAATGTCGTTCTGAAAACTGGAATCCGGCGATTTCGTTCATTTTTGTCGTTGTCATTGTTTCGGTGGGGATATTCTCGTAGAATTTGAACGATTATTAAAAAGTTATATTTATAGTTATCGTCCTTGGTGTGAAGGTGCCTCTAGACGAGAGCGATATTCTGGTTTTAAACGCGAGTAAATGATGACGGTTTTTCGTTTAACAGTGATTCACTGTTGAGCACACGGTGTCGAAAAGAGAGAAAGGGTCTCCGGTTCTTTTAAAGGAAAGTGTTGGATGTTCTGGAAGTTTTGAAAGGAGATAGAAGGATCTGATGCCTTCATCCTCAGACAAGCCTTGACGTTGGTTTAGTTTCTGGCGATTTTCAAATAATTTAAATTACAGATGTTATATTGTTATCCACCACGATGTGATTTCTGGGTAAATGTATTAAGATCACTTCATGGTGAGCACCTCTCTGTGGGTATCCATCAATATTTGCTTTTCAAACACACAGTAGCCTATTAAAAGTTAAATCGAAAACCCCAGAATAAAACGTCTCAAAATTATGTCATTGTGTTTTTCTGCGGTTTATTGTGTTTCCCTCAGTTGTCTCCAGTAGGGGGAGCTTTAGGATCTATACGTTCATTCCTGGGATTATGTGCCTTGTGTCCCCATAAAGAGCATGATCTTATACTGCCTTAAAATGTTGAACAATATAAATTTTAAACCTCTCTTAGTAGATAACGCCATTTGGAATCTAAAAATATTAAAGATGATTAAAAAATTAAGCATTTTACTTTACAGCATTTTGAACCAACATATATCACAATATATCATATGTCCCTTGGCCTGTATAGCCTATTTTCATGATAAATACAACACTTACTATACCTTTTTTCAATTTTTCTTTCTATTGTTGGTTTTATTAATGATTACAGTAATTATTCTCTCTGATATAGCCTATATACTTTTTTTTTTCAATTATTAAATTTATTTTAAGAATTAAAATCAAGTTTTTTAGCTTACCTCTCAACTTATTGTCCACACTGTAATTTTTGACTACTTTCCCTTTAAAATGAAAGTTGGAAAATTAAATGACATCATATCATAAAGCAGTCAAGTGAGTGAGATCCTCGATTATTTTAAATATCTAATATTATTGTCCACCGTGTTCTTCAAGAACATTTCAATAGCATTTCAGCTCATTAGAAATATATTAGCATTACACTAATAGTTTATTATAAAGTTGTTTTATTCAGTATTCAAAATTGTATATTAAAAGTGCAAAAATAATCAATATAAATGGTAAGACACACTCTGAAATCAAGAAAACTTTATCTTGTACATTGCAAAATAAATACATGAGAGTACATTTAAAAAGTACAGCAGCATATATAATCTCTTGAACATAATACATTATAATAAAGATCAGTGAAATGCTATGGCAAGCTATATTTATAAAAGATTTTGTAGAACATTTCAGTTATACCTACTGAAATGTACACTATGAATATTACATCACTAAATTAGCATCACAATGCAATTTTCTGAAAAAATGAAAGTTACGGAAAAACAAAAGTGAATAATGCATTATTTACAAATTTAAGGTGATGATACACAGGGCAACTTTTTGAGCAATGTTGCTGGGCAATCTTGCCGAGCGATTGTTGCTTGGGCACTTTCCCATTGAAAATGGGCAGCATTACATTTCTATCTGGAAACTTTAGGTCGGTTGTGGGCCCTGTGTCTCATCTGGTTGCCCGTTGACGGCAACATTGCCCAGCAACATTGCTCAAAAAGTTGCCCTGTGTATCATCACCATAATTGTGAGTCATTCATGTAAAAATCTGTATTTTTAATAGTTTTTTGGTAAAGCTGCAAGTCACTTGTCCTAGTTGTCCTGGCATCCAATTTTTTGCACAACTTCTAATTCCCTTAAATCTTTGCAACGGAGGTGAAGAGAGTGCATGTTAGGATGACCACAATAGACACGTTCATATGAAATATAGGTTTAAATAAACCTCAATTGTCAATATACAACATACCTTCTAATTCCCACAGGTTGCTTTAGCTTTATTGCTGCAAATAACTATATCAGTGACTTTGATTGAACTCTGCTCACTGTAAGAGGTGTTGGGCTTCTTCAGTGTAACTCATAGAGTGCTGTAGTACGACAGACAGAGGAAAAGTGGACACTCATGTCCAGCTTGATGAGGATATAGCCAAAGCTTTGAAAGGTAAACTGAGAAGTCAACAAAATTCTAATGCGTTTGAGAAATTCTTCTTCCCTTCTTCACGGATCCTGTGATAAAGCAGTCTTCAAACACTAGTATCTGAACCACAAGCCCTCAGTTGCAGAAAATGAGTCGAACTCAAAGAAGTGAGCGTCCACTTGAAGATGAAGATGTGCCATTCAAACTCTTCTGTTTCTTTGGTTCAGCCATTTGTAGGCCTTCGACTCCTGAAATGGACACGATGCTAACATTTTCCAGCCAAGATATTTGATATCTTGGAATACGAAAAGATAAGATTTTGTATTTTGAATAATATGATGTTGAAATTCTTCTAGTACAAACATATAATGGACAAAAGTGAACAACGTATTCATTTTAAGTATGCTTATTACGATGCTTAATAATAGTTGACAAATGTTAATAATACAGTATAAGTTGGTACATTGTACATGTATTTTTTTTCTTCAAAATATTAAAAGGATAAATACATAAATATTTCGAATATATTGCAGAAGGCCTAAACATTTATAAAGTACATAAACCCACTAAAACATTAATCATTTTTCTATGTTCTTACACAAAGTGCATGCATATACTTTAAGTAAGTATGTTTTCTGTAAATACACTAAAACTCCACTAAAAGTATGTTTGAGTTTAGCATATTTCTTAAAAGTGTAACTAAGCATATATTTATTACCAATGTACTTGTAGTATAATTTTTTAGAAATATATTCAAATGCATTTCTAAATATTTTAATGCACTTTAAATAAGCGTGTTGGAAATACACATGTATTATAAACATGAATTTCAAGTATTTTTTTAATACATTTACGTCTTTTTCACCTGGGTGACCCATGCGTATTCCAGCACACTCTGATTATTGATAAGATCATAATAGCCTTTTAATCAGGGGCTGAAATTGAATTTTGATGTACTTTGTGCAGTAGATACACCATCAAATGTCCATCTCTATATATAAACAATATAAACAGAGTCAGAGTTAATTATACACCGCAGAAAATAATTTCCTTATCGGCAAAAGGAAAATCCTGTCCTGGCTCCAGTGATTTGCTCTCACATCATGAACTGCTTCATTGTGTTAAAATAAAAAAAAGAAACAAATCCATTCAGCATAGCTTTATGGTACTTGAAGATCCATTGCTGAAATCAACCTGAGTTGAGATGAGAGGATTGTTTCCATAGATGTGTGCTGGGCTAAAGTGGATGAAGTGTGGGGTGTTTTCATAAGCTGGTTTGAATGGGTCGACACCAGACTGGCCTTCATTATGAAGATTGGCGGCTGGTCTTAATCTAGATTTACTTTTTCATCTCATTCGGGAACGACATAAACGTTTTTACTGATGCAAAGGGAATGCTAAGCTGCACTGTAAGCGAGTGTGCTTGGTACAAAGCGTCCTGTGACAGTGAAGGCAGATTGATATTGCATTGCATAATACATTAATACTCATATACGGTATGCAAAGTATAATTAAATGCCTTGAATAGCCGTGTTCTGCTTTTGCTGAAATGTGCATTTCATAAGAGCACAATGCATGAAATAAGGATATTTTTCAGAAATTGGTGTTTGATTCCTCCAACATTGCACCTCATCCTTGCACATTCATAATACCATATTATTACCATTCTTACTACTGCCAGTATGCAAACAGTATGTGTCCCACAATGCAGTGCGCTCGATATGACCTTCCATTTCTGCAACCTGACAATAGCTACACTGTAAAAAATAATCGTGATTTTAACTGTTAATAGACTATGTGCACGTTAGCATATGCTACTTCCGGCTGCGAAACCGATAGGGGGTGTCTAGTTTCCGGTAGCCTGATGGACGACGTAGAAGTAACGTTAAACATTGTTTACTTTTCACAATGCAGCAGCGCCTGGTTACCGTAATTCCTCAAATAAAAACCGGTATTCAAATAAACGCCGGGCCTCTGATAATGGCCGGGTGCGTGATCAACG